CCAACCAACCAAAACAGAGATTCAGTACAAAAGCAAAAATAGTTTTAATATCGTTCTTAATTTTGTCTGTGCAGCTGGGCAGTGTAAAGTTTTTCCTCGGTTTCGTTCGGTTGGGATCTGTTCCTGCCACGCTGTCATTCGTAATTAATGTCCCTTTGCCCATTTAAATTCCTCATTCTCCCCAAAAACCCACTTTAATAATTATTATTCCGTTTTTCGCCTGTCGCACATATTTTCAACTATGCACAAAAGTTTGGTAACACGTTCAGGCCATCTATGCAATTTGCAACTATATTGCACTTTATTTGTGAATATTTAAGGGGACAGATGGAACCGACTCACAACTGACACTGACAAATGCAAAATGTGCTGTCAGAAATATTAATTGCACTTCATTTATTTGCAACTTTTTTTCGGGGATTCATCGACCGGTGAATAGTGAATTGACATTTAGGGCAATGGTTATGCTGGGTAATTTAATTTCAGAAATTAAAGTTGATTGATATGAGAGAGAACTTCCGAAAAAAAGCGTTACACAAATACTAATAAATATCCCAATCAAAATTTGAAGTTTAAAACCAGTTAAAGCTTTATATTTAAAGTTGTGACAGAAATACATCCACAAACATTTTAATAAAAAAAATTTCACGAAAATGAAAGACCCAATTCAAAAGATCAAAAGACAAAGACGACAGAACAAAGGCCATAATTCAAATTGATTGAATCGAAACGAATATTATACAAATAATTAAATGAAGTTAATTAAATAGCCAAAGGATTCTTATGCAAACAAAAGGCATATTTCAACAACTAATTACAGTTCAATATATATGCATTCATATAAAAGAATGAATTTCCCATATTTTTTCTGACGAGTACTCTATCTCTTCAAAAGGCATATATTATTTTAAGAAAATTTATAAAATAATCGTCGACTATTTTTCAATGCTTTTGAATATTTTAATATTTACAATTGATATTTAATTAATATACGTTACAACTTAATTGGAAAACAAAGAGCAAAAGGAACACACAATTTTACATGGAAAATTGATTAAAACTGCATACAAAAAGAATTACATTTTAAAACAAGCAACATGTCACAGAAATATGAAAAGGCGAAGCCGCAATCATTTTAATGATGCGTCCTGAAATTCCTTTGTCTAGCCAATGAAAGGTATTAAATTACATTTTATATGGCCACACACATGTTCTAAGCCAATTAAATTATTTCTGTGAACTTTGCACTGCCGAAAAACCGAGACGAAAATAAAAGAAATGCCGAAAACTGAATCCTCGGCTCAACTTTACCCAAATAAAAAACGCATTAATACTCATTTTAGTGACAAACCGAGTTTAATGGCAAAAGACAAAGGGAGGTGGGTGGGTGGGTGGGTGGTTGGGTAGTGAAATGTTTTTGCCATTGACCGCCAGAAAAAAAGCATTCAGAAAATGGCGCACGGTCAGAAAACGGAGGCAGCTACACAAATATACGTATGTATATGAACACTCGTCCAAGGCAAATCAAAGTAAACCTTTCTCAAGCTTAAATCTCATAAGCTAGATTTATTTACAAAAGACCCACACACACCCCCCACACACACATTATGAATGCCTAATTGCCACACGCTGGGAAAATCTGCTCAATGTGCATCAGACTCTCTAACTGAATTTATACAAATGTGTTACATCTTTTCCCCAGCCTAATTGATAACTTCCGACCAGCCCAGTCCCCTACTTTTTGGACTCGGGGGAATTCGTGGAGTGTGATAATGAATTCAGATTCACTGCCAGAGAATAAGTCGGTCCCCCGGACTTTGCTCAACAATTTTCCAGCTACTGCATCGCCTATAAATGGTATTTGTTTTGTTGTAAAAAAGTGAAACTGTACTTTTATTCAATAAATATTCAAGCTTTTGATAGGAAAATATTTTTAATTAATTATTAAAAAGTGAAAAGACATTCTATATGTTTTCTTTTTAATAACTTTTAAATTAAGGTTCTCAAAATAAATATTTGACAGTAAAAATTTTTAAAAACTCATATCTATAAATATCTAAATATCTATAAATATCTGGAATTCAGCTTAAAAAAATATTAGCTAAAATAAGAATTGTCACCAAGATAAAAACTTTCTCCACAGACATTTAATTTTCCCTTAATTCTGGTAATATCTTTTACAAACAACGTGTCGTATGCGTGATATCGGTAAAAACCAAGGCAAAACCAAGTGTAAATATTCCCCGCTGTAAAAATGTCTTGCAGACTCATCACATTTTTTTGTACTTCTTTGCTAACGAGGTGGAAAACATTGATAAAAGCGATTTCTAATTGGTTTTTAATGATATATATTTTTTTGTACACATTACTCACCGCCATACATCACGAATAGAGTTATTTTCAGCATTATCAGGTTAGGATTGATGCCGCGCCGCACGCAGAATTCTCCGAATCGCGACAGCTCCACCTTTTCCGTAATCGCCGGATCCGTGGCCATTTCCTCGCTGACCATTTTCCCCATTTTCCCGATTAACACTAACACCTGGCTATTTGCATAGACTCGTCGACCGTTTTGAAGTTCGTTTCAATGGGGGAAAATTGCCACCGATCTAAGTTTCTCGGTCACACACAGATACGCACACAGACTAACACATTGCGAGGCACTCAAAATTAAATCCCTAGTTTATTTTGCTTTTTATGATTTCTCTCGCTGGCTTTTTCTTGTGATTTTGATTAAATTCAATTGAAATTTGTGATCATCAAGGCAGGCCAAGCCAGTTGTTGTTGCTATATATATATATTACACACCAAATCACAGTGCACAATTCGCTTGAGTTTTGTTTTCCACAACTTCTAATACTTGATCTTTGTTATTTTCAATTAGCTTTTCCGTTTAACCCGCACTTTTCAAGGTTTCCACTTTTGCTCCACTTTGGGTTTTTCCTTTCGATTTGTTATTCCAAAAATTCACTGCGTGCTTAGCTCACTTTCTCTATTTATTTAATAATTTCTTTTTTAGTATTCAGTTTTACCGCTCGAACTTTTCCAGTCGCCGTTCGCCTTGTGACTGAGCTGCAGGAAAATGAAAATCTCTTATCAACCTCTCTAGGCTATATCTCCAGATCCCCAGATCCCCCAGATCTCTGAGCACACTGATGATCATAATGATGATGCTGATTCTAACTTAAATTGGTTCGCTTCTCAGTGTGTTGGTGACAGATCTTGAGATCTCTTCTTGTTGGTGTTTTGTTGATGCGACAAGATCGCCGAGAGATAATGTCTCCCGTATTTCTTGAATGGAGATAAAGAGCCAACGAAACCTGAGCGACGGCTGACGTGCGACAATGTCGCGATCTCCGCCAGAGTGACTGGCAGATCGGAGATCCGGAGGAGGTCCGGGGATCTGGAATCTAGCGAAAGATCACTTGGTAGGCCAAGGTTCACCCACCGGAGGGGTGAGAGATATGAACACTGTGGGGATTAAAGGCAATTCAGATACAGAGAAGGAGAGAAAGAAAAAGCAGCAGAAGAAACAGTAAAAAAAATAATTAAATGATTCTGGTTATTTTTGAGCTACAAATCTATTTTTGGCATCTGTATCTGGACATTACTTGATGTAGTTGGATTTAATATCTAAAATCTTCCTTAGATATATTTTTTTAATCAAATTCAGACTTAAAATAAATATAAACAAAAATTTATATTTTAAGAATTTTTAAATTAAAAAATAATTTATAATTTAACGAAAGGATGTATTAAATTTTTTTTTTAATTTGAATGCTGAAAAGAGTATTTCATAGAGGTCCAATTAGTTTCGTAATAATTTATTTTCCTTACGTTACAACACAACTTAATATCAGCCGTATTCAAAGGCTGTGGAATAGTCCCCCCTCCACTCAATAATTCCACCAAAAGCAGTCTTGGGACTCTTGAAGGGATTTGAACTGGAAAATCTTGTTAGAATCGCAAAAGTTTTATGCATTTCCTCAGTGAAGATTTCAATGGGTTTCTTTAACGTTGCAAACCGAAGCAAAGACCGAACTCAACTGACCAAAAGTTGAACATATCATTTGATAAGAACCGCACATGGATAGATCTAAAAAAAAAGCCATTAGCTGATAGGGAAATTACATGTTCCCAACGATTGATTGATTGGGATCAAAGCACGTGTTTGGGGCGCCAAACGAGCTGATATGTATGGCCTGACAACTGGCAAATTTTCTCACCTCGAATTTTCTCCGCGTGTCCGGGGAATATTTACGCCCCACTGACCCGGCCTAACCTGCATATAAAAGAAGTATAAACCTTTATGTGTGGGGCTTAACTGATTAGCGGCGCTTCCTGAAGGGAGTTCATAACTTTGTTTTGTTAGTTGACAGATAAGATAAGGTGATGCCATCTCGTGTGTCATGTGAGTGCAAAGTAAAATATTTAAACTGTCTCGGCACTAGAAAACTATATATACATATTAAATACACATTAAATTCGGGGATCCGAAAGTTAACGACAGATCGCTGCTGTTTTCAAGTCACTTGGCGTCCTTCTAAGACTTTATTATATTTTTTCGAAATCTTTCTGGCTCAAAGATGTCAAAGATAGAGTGATTATCAGATAATTTTATATTTAGCACGCATCTATCTGAGATGGATGTGGGATATCAGGGGCAAACACAAACATGTTGTAAAACAAAATACGTAAGCAAAGTTGTCCCAGACTGTAGTACTCGTTTTCGGTTTATCAGCAGTGCGAGTTGAGGGAGCTTCAACCAGAAGCTGAAACGAATCCATAAAAAGTCTCGCAGAAAGTGCAGTTAGAAAATATTTTAGCCCATATCGGGCTACAATTTACAATTTTATTATTATAAAAGAATCTTAAAATTCTTTTCAATGTTTATAAAAACATTTGGTTCAATTTAATGTAAAAATTGTCTTTCTTATTTATGATTTTGTAATCTAAGTTAGTTATAATCATATTTTTAATCGGAAGATCTTCTAATCTTTTTATAATTTCTTCTAATAATATTTATCTTTATTTATTAATGGGAATTTTCAGTTAATAATGTGCTTTTCTCTGCACTTTTAATTCAAACTGTCATTGTCCGACTGACAAATGAAATAGCTCAAATTCTCGCATTTGTTATCGTACATAAGTCCGTCCAAGAGGTCAACACAGTGCTGGTTTTCGTCAGAATTGTTGGGTTGACCGGCTCTCCACTTGAAGAAAGGTGTTTGCTTGCCAGAGGCTGAGGACTTGAACTGTCCCTCCTTATCGAGATCATTGATGTCCAGCCAGTAGATGCGATCCTTGTGCAGTTTCGCCTTGAGGGCCGTCAGTTCCTCTTCACTTCGGATGACTGCCAGTTGGGCTCCCATTTGGCGACAGGTTTCGGCAGCAGAGTACCAGTTCTTTCGTATCTCATCCTCGATGTAGAAGTACCTCGAACCGATCAGTTCGAATTTGGGCGGCACAATTTTCTTATCGAATATAATGAGTTTCCTCAACAGCTCCGCCTGCTGACTTTCCAGCTTGTCCTGTTTTGATGCGATTTTGGTCCAGTTTTCCTCCAAAAACCTTATATGATCCAACATGGGTTTCAGCGCCGTCAGACAGAATTCCCCACACTGATGCACCGGGTCTTCCAGTAGGCACACGGATCGTGGTCCAGCTGAAGATACAATCGTATTCCAAGCGAGTAGTGAAAATAGCAACGCCAACTTGTACATTCTGGATAAGTATAAACAATGAACAGAAAATGTTCTTACTGGCGTTTATATACTGAGAGTCAAAATGAGTGCAAGGTGGGTCGATTTGTATAATTCAATTCTAGCCCAGGGCTTGGATTAAATTGAATGTATTTAGTTAATTCTGTGCTAATCAATTCAGCAAACATTAAACTTAAGACGAGTGGTTCTAGTAACAAAATACCAATTGATTACTGAAATTCCAAATTTATTTAATTTAAAGTTAAACAAAAACACAAAAAAAAAAAAATAAATTTTTTTTCTTATTCTTTAAATAATACAAAATGTTATTATGACAAAAATAATTACTTTAAAATATTATTATGAAATAAAAACATATTTTAAATTTTAAAAAATTAATTCGTATTTTTTTTATATTATTCTTACATAATTTTTAGAAATTTAAGATATTTGTTAAGATTTTTACCTAAACTTTGTTGTCCAGCTGGCAGATGTAATTGGTTGCAAAGTGGCATTCCATATCATCCATCAGGGCTTTGTCCAGTATAGCGCAGTCCTGAATCCCGTGGAAGTTGTCGGGTTGTCCTTTGTGCCACTTCATAAACGAAGGTCGCTTGCCGGAGGCAGTAACCCAAGTTCCCTCCTTTTCCTGATCTGTGTATCCCAGCCAATGTTTAGTTGCACTCGGGGTTATCGCTTTGACGGCATTGAACTCTAGTTCGTTCTGAAAGGATGCCAGATGTCCTCCTTTTTGCTGGCAGGAGGCTTCAGCATCACTCCAATTCTTCCTCTCACCATTTTCTACATAGAAGTATCTAGCACCGATTTGATAGAAACCAAGCGGCACTATTTTACTGTCGATCTTGTTCAGCTTCTGTTCTGAGTTGTTGACCGTCACTTCAACTTTCTTCATAGTCGCAGAAAGGGCGTCTAACTTTTCTTGAATAACTTGTAGTTGATCCAGGATTGGCTTCTGACATTGCTGACAGATTTCCTGGATATTAATTCCAATTATCTTGTCCTGAATTTCCTTTTGGATGGCCAATGATTCATTTATGTTGGCAGATTGTGTATTCATCTGTTGCTTAATTTGGGCATACTGATCGTATAACGGGTGCAATGCTGAGAGACAGAAGGCTCCGCATTGAAGTGGAGCATCCTCAAGAACACAAACCGAACTTTGCGCCTTCTCGGATTGGGCCGACCCGAAAATAATGCAAGCCGCAAAGGTGAACCAAAAATTAATTTTAAGCGTAAACATTTTTTGAGCGTAGTGCAAGTGAAAGCAATGCTAACAGTCAACTGTTTATGGATACCATCCCCTAATGCCTTTTATATGTTCTCTCGTAAATAAATTATATAATTAAATGTATTATTCAGACACTGCGGTAATGCAAAGGCCAGTGGCTTCTTTAAAAAGCTAGATAAAATAGCAAACAAAGGGTTCGAAAAGCACTCAATGTATTTATTGGCAAGTCACGCATTTTGAAATAGAATAGAGAATTATTTTGGTAGATCATGCATGTTTCTCAATAATTTGCATTTGCAACCAAGTAAAAATGTATATTAGATTTTATATAAAAAAGAGAAAATATATTATTTAATAACAATAAATAAATATATCTATTGCTTTTTTCGAAGTAAATAATCATTTAAATCATTAAAATGTAATCTAACGCGGACATGAGTTCGTGATTAGTACAATAATTAAAAGTTATTTTTGTTTTCCAACAGTTTAGGCTTATGCCCTAAAAACTAAAGTTTTTATGTACATGAAAATTTGTACGATACACCAATCTAAGCCAAACTTCTCTTCCATCCTTTCTTCCTTTTCCTAAAAAGCTGAGCAATTGGTAATATTTTTAAGATTTTTAAATAAAGGCGCAATCCTTTCTTCCTTTTCCTAAAAAGCTGAGCACTTGGTAATATTTTTAAGATTTTTAAATAAAGGCTCAATCGGGTCTTGCTCAAATTTAACTAATTTGTAATTTACTTGCTTATTTACGTAGGGAGCGTGTATTAGATATATTCAGTTCGCAATGTTCTGGTCAAAAATGTGTATTCACTAAGATTAAACAGCGGTACTTAGCGAATACACCCTCCTGGCATAACGGAAAACTTCCGCTAACGTTGATGATATCGATAGTTCTGATATATATCTATATAGCCGCCAAACAAATTATGGGTTACCGAAATTCAAAAAATGCGTGGATTTTAGAAACTGTTTAGTGCTACGTTTTTATACCCGTTACTCTTATAGCAAAAAAAAAATTAATTTTACTATGTTGCTAATACATGTAACTTTGTACAGAGCATCCTGCATTCCACTTCAAAAATGATCCAATATATTTACTGTGTTTCGTGTTCTTCTAATATACGCTACTTTATATGTCTTTTTAAATCATTCATTGGCCTTTCCATTAACTCAGTGCCTGAATAAAACATTAAATTAGGTAATTTATTTTCGGGAATGCATATATAAGGCGCTAGTCAGCGAATATATTTCGATTCAGTTCATTAAAAAAAATGTTCAAGCTCGAAATTAATTTTTTTTACACATCACTTGTAGTCTGCATCGTTATTGGTTTGACCCAATCCCAGAACTCAGTTTGTGTTCTTCAGGATGCGCCACTGCAATGTGGGCCCTTCTGTCTGTCAGCACTGCATCCGTTATACGATCAGCATGCCCACACTCGACAACAGATGAACACCCAGGCTGCCAACATAAATGCAACATTGGCTATCCAAAAGGAAATTCAGGCCAAGATGAACGACCTTGCTGCGACTCTAAATGATACTGTGAAGATTATACAAAGAACCCCTCTTAGGTTTGACAAAGGATTTGAAAAAATTGGCACCCGATACTTTTATATCGAGACAGAAGTTAAGCGAAATTGGTTTATGGCCAAAAACAAGTGCCGTAGAATGGGCGGCTTTCTAGCCTCTATCCAAAATGCGGAAGAGCTCAATGAAATCGATAATAAACTAAGGGGTGAATCTCACTTCTGGCTAGGCATCAATGATTTGGGCAAAGGGGGCGACTACGTATCAGAGGCCTCTGGTAAAAAAACCACTTATTTGCCCTGGCACACCGGTCAACCTGACAACTACAGAAATAACGAGCACTGCGTGCATATCTCTTCCTATAGTACAGGATTTATTAAACGTAAAACAATGAACGATTTTCCTTGTACATTGGAAAATTATTTCATTTGTCAACTGGATCTGGATATTTAGTAAGCAAATAATTGAATATCCTAATTAATAAAGTGACTCTAAATTCAAATATTATTTTTCAACACAAAACTTTATGTTTACGAAAAAATTATTATTACACAAAACATCCGTTTTCTCATTAGCATTTATTTATGCTAGAAACTTTTTTTGATTTTCCAAAAAATTGTGATTTAAACATATCAACTTGTTATTATACCCTTGCAGAGGGTATTATAATTTTAGTCAGATGTTTGCAACGCAGGGAAGGAGACGTTTCCGACCACATAAAGTATATACATTCTTGATCAGCATCAATAGCCGAGTCTATCTAGCCATGTCCGTCTGTCTGTCTGTCCGTCTGTCCGTTTCTATGCGAACTAGTCTCTCAGTTTAAAAGCTATCGCGATGAAACTTTCCCAAAAGTAGTAAATATGTCGGAGCGAGCCGAAAATTCATTGTAACTTTGATTTTTGGCAACTTAAAAACAAAATTGAATTACGCACGCTGAATCTGGAATCCCTGGAACTGCATCGAGTAAGCATTAAACTATAGGTCTTTACTTTATCCGCAAGGGTATATAAGCTTCGGCTGGCCGAAACTAGCTTCCTTTCTTGTTTTTAACTATATTCTGAGTCTTTGCTGCAAACATTGATATTTTCGTACGCAAAACAGCTTACATTTTGGCCAAAAAATTCAAAACTTCCGTTTCCCAGAATTGCCTATTTTTACACATAGTTGGAAGATTTGACGGGAAAAAAGCGGAATTGGCAGCATTAGTTAGGCTGCTCGATAAAACATCGATAAATCAAAATGTTTAAAATATCGATAGTTGTTATCGATAATCACAATCGATAGTTACAATCGATAGTTGGACGGTAGAATATCGCACGCGAAAAGAAAGAAAACATTGGATTCGGGCATTTGGAGCCCACAGCCCCAAAAGCGGCAAAAAATTCGTGGCGTTCGGACGTGTTTCGTTCCCGTTCGTGCGTGCGTGTGCTTGTGTTTTTGTGTTCAGCGTGCGGCGTTTGCGAGGAAGAGGAAGATGAATCAGTAGTCAGAAATACAAATACAAATGCTAATAATTATATTCGAGTGCCGCGGCAATCGGGCATTATCTTTATCTTTATCTAAAGGCAGAAACCGAGATTAGATAAAATACACGGCGCGTATAAAGAGTGGAAAAGGCGCAGAAAGCAAGAAAAAAGAAGAAAAGAAGAAGTTCAAAGCCAAAGTCCGTGTGTGTGTGTGTCTGCCTGTGTGTTCGTGTGCGACGCTTGCAAAAATTGTCGGTGTGTGCGTGTGTTGTTTTTGTTAGTGCACCTGTCTGCAAAATAGAAATAAAAGAGACGGCAAACAAAAACCATAACAACAAACAAAAAAATTAAAACAAAAATTTACTAGAAGAAAAAAAACGCAAAACAAAGTCAAAGTGAAAGAAGGAAAAGGAGATAAAAGCGAGTGAGAGAACGAAATTTGGTTTATAATTGCCTCGAAAAAACCGGTGAAAGGAGAGAAAAAACAGGAACTACTACCAAAAATCCTGTTTTTCAAGGAATTTCTTTATAAAGGTGAGTTTTGAACACGGGCATGACACACTTTCATTCAACGAGTTCACACTTTTTCGGGGGTTGACGAAATTCCTCTGGATGCTGCGTGTGTGTCGAAATTTCTGTGATTTAACCTAGACCAGAAAACACACACTTTTTGAAGGCGGATGAGGCTGGATTCGGGCCCAGAACCACCCCCTTTTGGGGGTGGTTTTTCGCTCTCAGCTGAGCGGCCTCGCTTTTCTCGGTGTGTACATATTTTGAAGGCCATGCCGCAGATAGATCCCATTAAAATCAACAGCATTTTTGAAGGTTTAGGGAGAGTTTTTGCCAGATACATTTGGAAACCTGTAAATCACCCATTCCTAGTTAAAAAATAATATTTTTAAAATGTCTCAATAGTATTATGTAAAGACTAAATTGTTTAATTCAATAAATAAAAAAAGATTCATCTCTAAAATCATTTTTATCTACTAAAATATTTCAGTATTAAATCAAATCAAAGCAATATTTTTTGTAAAATGAATGAAAATGGTTTTAAACAATTAAAGTTCTTGGAACTCAAATTACTAAAAATAGTATAACGACTTTAGAGGGAAATCTTGCACACTGTTTCGTTGATTTTACCCAAAATATTTCAATTATACCAAAAAAAACGTATAAAATGAACTGTCTGAAGAAAGAGCTTCCTTAACGTACGATTTTCATAGCCAAATAAGCCCATAAATGCGCAGAGGCAGACACAAAACAGGTGAACTTGACCCAAACACATGCATTCAACATTGAGATCCAGCCCCTTTAACGCTCGGCTGATCTAGATAAATGCAGAGGGGCAAATCCAAGAGTTGCACAAGGCATCCCCCTTGGCTCCCTCCACCCCCCGTCCCTGCCTTGGACACCTATAATCATTTTCGAAAAGCTCACACGAAATAAATCAGCGCAACTTGGACACGTTTCTTGTCTAGAAGCGAGAGAGATGGCTAGATTG